GTGTGTGTCGGTGTGGGTGTGTGTCGGTGTGGGTGTGTGTCGGTGTGAGGGGTGGGTGTGCGTGGGGTGTAGGTGTGGTGTACTAGGGCACCTAAACCGTTGCCGATACCCACACATCCAAACTCATACCCCCACCTCCACACCCAACACTCACAAACACCCACCCCCACAGCCCCACCCACCCCCACACCCAGCCACCCACGTCCACATCCACACTCACACGCACACCCCAGCAATGGCAGAATGCCTACCAAGCAGAATTCAGAATTTTGTGGACTTATATATTTTTTTAACGATTTATTATAATATTCTTTTCTGGTCTGTTTGATTTCTGCTTAGAATTTTGTAGAATTCTGTAGAATAATGTACCACCAAAGACAGCCTATTTATTTCTTGTTTGTTTGAATTCTGCCTAGAATTTTGTAGAATTCTGTATCATCAGAGATGACCTCTCCCATTTCGGTCTGTTTAAATTCTGCTGAGAATTCTGTATTATCAAAAACAGAATTCTGTAGAATTATATGTCACTAAGGACAGCGCATTCTTTTCTTGTCTGTTTGAATTCTGCTTAGAATTATGTAGAATTATGTGTCACTAAAGACAGCATATTCATTTCTTGTCTGTTTGAATGCTGCTTAAAATTTTGTAGAATTCTGTATTATCAGAGATGACGTCCTTCGTTCCAGTCTGTTTAAATTCTGCTGAGAATTCTGTAGAACTCTATGCTATGAAAAACAATGTTCTTTCCTCACCAGGAGATGTAGAATTCTAGTAATCATACTGCAAGTTTATATTCTGTTACTCGTATCAGAATTGTGTTTTATATTTTCCTTATGTTTTTACATTCTTCATTAGAATTTTTTCTCTCTCTACGAGCTATACCATTCTAGTATGTCTATTGAAAGATTATATTGTCTGAGTGGTACCACAGCTCTGCTTTAAATTCTTCTGATATTTTTAAATGCTTCATAAGAGTTTTTCTCTTCTACTTGAGATATACCATTCTAGTATACCTATTGAAAGCTTATATGTTGATAGTTGTAACAGCATTCTGTTTCAAATTCTCCCAATATTTTAAAATTCTTCAGAAGGATGTTTTTTTCTATTGCAGATATGCCACTGAATTCAAGGATAGCTATTGAAAATTGATATTCTGTTAGTGATAACAGCATTCTATTTTAAAATTCTGCCGATGTTTTTAAAATCTTCATCAAAATTTTATTTTTCCCTTGGACATATAACATAATAGTATGGCTATTCAAAGTTTATATTGTTTCGTGGTAATAGCATTCTGCTTAGAATTCTGTGGAATTGTGTCATCGAAGACAACATATCCCATTCTGATCCTTTTAAATTAGGCTTAGAGTTCTACACAATTTTATATATTTTTATGTTATCAAACACTATATATTCCATTTTGGTCTATTTCTATTGTAGTCAGAATTCTGTAGAATACTTCCTGACAGGTTAGTGTGATACTTAGTAGTTTATTTGCTATTGGGAATTTATCTTAGTGAATTGATCTATTTTTTACCGATATTAGAATTCTGTTTTACATTCTGCTAGGATTTTTTCAATTCTTTACTAGAAATTTTTTCCTGGTCGATGTGTAGCCTCCAAGGAG